ACTTAAAGTTAAACTGTGTGAGGTGTAAAATTTAAAATGTGAATCTAAAATTATGATGGGTTCGTTGAGAAAATGAGCATGCTCATATCATCAATTTTGAAATGCTTAGTTGAATGACTCTTCTTTTTTGTTAGAACGCCATAAGACAATTCAAACAATTTTGAGTAATAAGGAATCTTATTAGCACAATAAATGCTTGTGGACAAGCCTCTATGGTAACGTAGTTTTGAAATATTTAGTTGAATGGGTCTTTTTGTTAGACAAACAGTTGGCAGCAACACGAAATCTTATTATAACTTCTATCAGGTATTAGGATAAATTTGCATTCTAGACAATTCTATTTGCTAAAAAAATAGAACACTGTGTCTAAAACTACAAATTGTATTATGAAAAGCTGAACTATTGGTACTGCTGAAGCATAAATGTGATGATTAAGAACTAGTTTTATGGAATTTTTTAAGGATGGTAATTAAAATAGTCAATTGTTACTTGAATTATGCACATGTTTACAGCGGTGTGTATCCATGAATCATATACACATTTTGCTCCTCATAGATCATCCTAAGAACCGTCTATCACATGTTTAGTAATGTAACGTTTAGATAAGATACAATTATTCTCCTTTTTATTCCCTCAAGTATGCCTAATTGTTGTCAGATTTCAACATTCATTGTTTCACTCGGTCGTAAGGTATTACACCATGTCGCAAGGAGCTATACATTTTTATAGTTATCATTTGTACCCAAACTAGGTTTTGTGTAGAGGATAATAGTTACATTCTTTAACATCTACTTAAGTATCCAACCCATCAAATAATTATTGCAAAGATGAGCTATTTAAATAACTAAACTATTGGTAACATTATTTTTGAGGTTGATAACAGAGAGATATACGAAGGCATCACCGGTCACTCCATTAAGCACTAGAAGTATTGGTCTCGCATTCGCACAATCAAAAAGAACCTTCAAGATATCAATTGGTCTATCCAACACATCACTCCAGGCATTAATAGAGCGGCTGATTTCTTTTCTTATCATTACGCCTTTATTAAAACCATTACTCATCATTTTAACCAGTTTGTTGGTATTCTTAAGTTTGATGCCATTAGTTTACCGTATGTTGTATAATCTTTTTAGTAGGCTTTGGCACGATCCTCCTACTACTTGTATTCTTGCTTTTTCTATAAATATATGAGGTGTTCCCTGGCCCTCACTCCAAAACCCTCGGGTTTTGGATTAATACCGGGTCAAAAAAATACAACTCAAACATCAAATTTATCATCCTTTGACATGTAAAACAAGAAAGAGTGATGACCAAGCTAAATCAGGACAAATAGGTGAGTGATAGTATTAGCTCTGAAAGTATTAGCTTGTTCGTCTCATTGTGTGTAGATGAAGTGTAATGTGATGGGGGTATTGTAACAAATTGAAAGGGTTTATATGCCTCTACTCAAATAGCTTACTCAGTTCTACTCATTCATACCTATCATCCCCCAATTTTCCACAACCAACAAACTAAACTCATAGAGGGAAACTTTGAATTTCATTTTTTTAAAAGCATATCCAAACATCAAGTATTACGTTACCGTTCCAAGTTTTATATTTCCATTTTAGAATCTCATTTCTTAAACTTACTTGAACAACTATCAAAGGCTCGAATTTACTAATTCATTACTGTAGTGAACATGTTCCTATTTCATGGCGTGTGATAGGTTGGCCATTGTTACACAGTAGTGTGTCTATAGTTATACCATATAATAGGCTACCGAGTACATGACCTTCATGTTACTCTCCTTAGAATTGTTGAAATATGCACCAAAATTTGTATGTATTTACAAAAGTTTTTGTGTATGAGCACACATTTATACATTAAACAATACATACACTTTTGCAACTTCATCTTCCCTTGTTGGTGATAATTGTTAAATAATCCTTTCTTGATATAGTAAGAAGACAACTATGTAGTGAAATGAACATTTTCTTGTTCCAAATAGGTTCTGTCATTCTATGAATTTCAATTTTGAAACCGAATTTCCTATTTCAAAAAATTTCTCCTGGTCAATATCTATCGATAGAACAGATGTTTAGTTAAAAAGATCAATCATCTTAGGATTTTTTCTTTTGTATTAGGTTTTCTATCAATACATTAGTCCTCTATTCCTCCAATGTGCTTTTTGATGTTGCAGGTTGACATGCTAAACAGAGTCCTTCACACACCTTTAGCCGCTTCCGTCTTTCCCTACCTCCCTTCTTCAAATATGTTAGTTGCCTCAACAATGTTTTTTTATATTAGGTCACAATTCACGTCAAAGAAATCAAAATTTAATGAATAAAATACCGAATCTATTTTCTGCTCAACTACTGTTTTTACTCTCTCATTTGTAGCACTCTTCACTAGAAGCCAATTAACGTTTCATGTTTATTTCATAATTGTTATCAACAAGTAAAACATACAAATCTAAACAAAACTATTAGCTTCTTTTGCACCTATAGTTTGCAATTGAGTGTAGGAGCATGTTGTTATTGCTAAAATGGAGTGACAATGGCTTAACCGATATGATAAGTGGAAAACAAATATGCAAATGAGGGTGATATTTAGTAGTTAAAAGAAGATTGTCTAAAGAATATTATTTTTTGAATTACTTAGCTATTCCACACACACACACACACACTCACACACACACACACACACACATATATATATATATATATATATATATATATATATATATATACTTATACTACGGATCCTTGAATCATTTTCATGTGCCTAATTCTGTTCAAACTAACCCTTCTGGTGCCATCCAAATTCATTAGAGAAGATTCTTATGAGAGAAGGATATTTTGATGCCTACTAAAAGTTTCATTAGCTTATCAACAACCTCCAAAAATTTTATGTGTATTGTGCATTTATGTTTGTCCATGTAACAATAGTCCATACAGTATGCTCCCAAATTTAACAGGAATAAATAAATATTTAACAAAAATGCATTCATAGCTCATTTTATGCCCTTAAGTATATATAAAGTACAAAACTAAATGTTTAAGTTAAATAAAAACATATTGGACACTATCTCAATCGTGCAACGCACTAAACAAAAACTAGCTTGTTGATAAATGTCGACTAAGAACGGAATTTGAAGTTTGTTCATTCTCTTTATCCTTTTATTTTCATGTTGTGAATCGTTAATGAACTTTGAAGCTTATCAAGTAATATAGCTTCATTATTATAAATGTCTTCCCCTATTAAAAAAGTAAAAAAATTATAAGGTGTTAAAACATTCCTTCAATATAATTTCATTCCACTATTAACAAAGTGGAAGGCGTCATAAAATGGAAAATTTTCTCAACAACACTATCTTCTTATATTTTTCACCATTGATATGCAATGTGTTGACTAGGGTCTTAACCTCCAAAGACGATGTAATCACTAGATATTTCATACTTTAATTGTAGTGCCTCAAGCAACATACTCCTGGACAGAATCCTAAGGGATTAATATGGTAATATCATAGGGAAAATTGTCAAATAGGTCCTCGAACTTTCATAAAAAGGTCAATTAAGTCCTTCAATAGAAGGTTCTGTCCGGCCGTCGCGATTTGGAGCAGTTCCCGGTGGAATTTTTTGATGAAATTTTTAGAGAATCTTATTCACCAAGTCTAGTTTATTCATACCAAATTTCGGCTAAAAATTCAATCGGGAACACATTCAAATTAATTCTTGAAGATAACTGCGCATTTTTGCGTTCTCGAATTAATTTGAATGTGCTCCCGATTAAATTTTTAGCTAAAATTTGGTATGAGTAAACTAGACTTGATGAATAAGATGCTCAAAAAATTTCAGCTAAACATTCCACCGGGAACTTCCCCAAATCGCGACGACCGAACAGAGTCTCCTATAGAAGGACTTAATCGACTTTTTTATGAAAGTTCGAGGACCTATTTGACAGTTTTCCCAATATCATATGATCAATTCTGTGGAATAGATAACCAATATGATAGTATCATCTAATCAAACTTAAAAAATACAATTAGTATATCGTATTTACATGTGGTAAAAGTATTTTATCACATACATGCAATTCCAAATCTATTAATGATTAAATTGTCTCGATTTTGAATAAAGTAGGTAAAACTTAGAATTGTCACGTCAAAATTGAATCCCAAATAGGCGTGCAAACGAGTAAAGTTAATTGTGATCAACTTGTGAGATGATGACACAAAGCTTGACTCAGGCTCAGACGCTCAGTCAAACTCAAACTCGAGCTAGATTCAAGCCAACTCGTCAAGCAATGGAGGCTAGCTTGAGCTCAATTTCGTTTACCTCACATACACACATATGCATACATATACAAAAACACATACATAAAAGTATACTTATGAATGTATTTACTTATTTATGTGTTTATACATTTATAAGTTTTTATTGATAACAAAACGAGAAGTAGTGAATGAGAGAGAATCTAATAAAAGGAGGCCCCTAGAGTACATATATTATTTGAAATAATTCCAACTATATAACCAAATTTAAAGTAGTAGACAAAAATGTGACACTTGTAGCTTTAGTGACTATAGTTCTATTCAAATATTCCATCGTAATGACTATAAAACTTACTCATAGTATTTTGAGAACTATAGTCACATTTTTGTCCATAGATTTTCTATTAGTATTATTTTAGGAAAAACCTCATATTATATACGTGATTAGATGTATATATTATTTACTTATTTGTTTAAATATCACATTAATAATTTTTAAAAATAGAAAATTTGTTTTAATTAACAAGCAGAACTACGATAAGAAAAAAGTTCGAGAACTCAAGTTTAATAATTTAGCTCAAACTCGAATTAGAACTCAAGTTCGAGAAGCATCTTATTCGAGCTCGAACCATAGCAAAATTTGAGCCGAGTTCAAGCCAAAATTATTAGGCTCGTTCAAGCTCGAGCTCAAACCCGACCTAGCACATTTTACTCGAGCTCGAGAATGTCAACATTCTTGGACCCCCCTACACCTAACCATATAATTGAAGACAAAAAATAGTAGTAATTCATATAGTATCCATAGTCGAGAAAATGACAACAATCATGAATGGTGTCTTCTATTTACAATTGACTTTCATCAAATAACACACTTAATTGAAAATTATTTAGAATCCGTACCATAATAATGAATGTCACAACCTACCCTTGAGAAAGCTTGTGCACAACTTCTTCCATGCCTCCCTGTTTGGTTCATCATGTGCTTCTTCCAGCTTTGCCTTGGCAGTAATGGCCATATCATTTCCAATAAGATTGTGTTGGAGTAGACGGTCAACGAGGTTCAAGATTATGCCCTTGGTGTACTCGGGGTGACCTTGTATTCCCATTATGTGATCTCCATATCTAAACATTTCTATTCCGGTCTTGTTTGACCATCCGATGATCTCAGCCTTCACAGGAAGTTCTTTTATCTGTCTGATATATTGTTATCATATTAATCCGATCCACCAAATTCACAGTGGTTACACTCTGATATGTGCAATTCGTTTTATCAACACAATATCTCATTATAATAGCATAATTTGTGCAATTTGTTTCCCATATGGCATGTATATTGTGCACAATTTTTCTTCTTCTAAAGAGATATGTATTGGTATGGGCTTATATTTATTTTTCCACCAGACTTCATACATGAAATATATACAAAATAGCTTTTGTATAAGGGCATGCATAAGTGCTACTCAACAGAAGTCTTTTAATATCATTTGCGACTTAATTTAATTTAAAAGTGAAATACATGAAGTAATGTTTAACATTTTATGCCCCCTCAGTCCTTCAATAAATGACACATCTTATCTTTTGAAAGTTTTTTTTTATTATTTGACTTATTTCAATATTTGAAATTTTTTCCTTACTATTTTTCCCCCTTTGTAGCCCTGTCTTTCCCAAGTTTTTCTTCCTCTCATAGAAGTGTTTAATTGTTCTCATTTTCTTAATTACATTTAAAATATTAATATGTCATTTATCAAAGAATGGAAGTAGTATATTTAGTTTGTTATTTTAAATTTGGACTGTTTTTCTATAAGATGTGAAGTGAATACATTGCTTTCTATAATAAATCAAGTACGAAGGCAGTGACACCATGGCGGAAACAGTGGCACCAATTGCAGCAACAATGACAATAGAAATCATTGACAATGAAATAATATACTAACAATGACATAAAAAAACAAGTGACATACTGAACTGGTAATGACATTGTAACTTTTCAATTTTATTATTTTTTGAGTCACATATTTATCCGTATTCTAGTATAATAGTAATCACTTTTGGGAATTTGACTTTAGTATAGCAGTACATTTGCCCCACTAAGTTTATAGTACAAGAGTAGGAGGCACGCCATTAAAAAAGAGCTTATATGGTTGATATATATTGAGTTGATAAAATAGATTGATATTAAGTGTATAAAATAAGAATTCATAAAAACCAATTTAGAAGCATGCAAACATTCCCAATTTTGGGGGTTTAATGCACGAAAACCCCCATGATATATAACTTCGATGCATTAGCCCATGTGATTTAAATAATCTCATTGTGTTATAATAATTCATGATAAAAAATCTGTCTAAGAATAAATATACCAATTTGAAAATCACTTATCTTAATATTATAATTGAATATGCAAATAAATTTGTCAAGATCTCTAAATTAAGCAAAAATGCTAATCATTTATCATTTATTTGGTAATTAATTTATTCATTAAGGGGTTTTTGCCCATGAATAATCGTATCACAAATGGATCTGACGCATTATTTAAATCACGCAATTTATATATCACGAGGACTTCGATGCATTAAACTCCAAATTTAGTATGAGAACATTTTAACATATACTAGGCATCTCATAACGAGTAAATGAATAAATTTAGGGAGAGCTTTTCTCATCATTCCAACCTGGCCAGGAGTGTCGTCGGTAAGCCCGTTTGAAGTGCTTTCGGATGGAATGTTTTGATGAAATTTAATGACCCGTTCTTCATTAATTGTAGATTATTCCACAAAATTTCAGTTTAAATTTCAATCAGAAAGTCGGTTGAATAAATTATTCAAAAACACTGCGCCAAAATATATATAAAAAACGCAGTGTTTTTAAACAAATTATTTAAATGACTATCCGATTTAATTTTAAGTCGAAATTTTTTGAACGTAATGAAGAACATGCTTACAGAATTTCATCAAAAAACTTTCACCCGGGACATCTCAAATTAAGGTGGCTGGAGAAGATTATAATGATAATTCGTCCGAAGTATGGCAGCAATATACATTATACCCCTTAAGTAAGTTATTAGTGATTTCAATTCAATAATCAAGTGATGGACCAAACCATACATCCCAGTGATCAATCTTGATATTACCTCATCTCGGTGGCACTCAATAACATCAAGGAAAGCAGGCAATTTGAGAGAGTTACAGAGATCAGAGGATGACGAAATATGAATGGCCGTCACGCCGATGTCCCATCCCGCCGTTGCTCGTCCGGTCTTTCCTCCGAGTGCTCGCCCCAATATCTGATCACATCAAATAAAATCATAGTAAGAGCTTCTGCAACTATTACCAAATCATACATCAAAATGGTGGATTTGTCAATTTTGTGCTCCAACAGCTACACCATCCATTTCACCATTTCACCATTTTGGGGGAGTGGGTTTGGCTTTACGCCATATATGGCCTACGCCAATACTTGCATCATCTTCTTTTTTTTTTTTTTAATTTCAAATGTGACCCAAAATTTTGATTATTATAGTTTTGACTCATTTTTAGAACAACAAATTATAGAACAACAAATTTAAATTATTAACTTTATGTGGTTTTACCTTGTATTTGTGATGTGCGTAGAATACCGAGTGATGCACCTGTCACACGAGTTGAGATGTGTGAAGAGGAGGCAGGGAAGAGAGGGAGAGGAAGACCCAAACAGACGTGTGTTAGGGGAGTTCAAAGTTATATGCTTCTTCTGGGGTGGGATGAGATAATGACTTTGGAGAGAGCTAAATAGAGGGCGAGTATTCGTGTGGAGGAGTGATCTCGTATCATCTTTTCCCCTCATCTTTTTTCCTTGTTTTTTATCCTTATATATAAGCATTACTTGTATCCTTTTTATTTTATCTTTTTATGTATATTCTTCTCTTTTTATATTATCTTTTTATAATAGCTTATCTTTTTTATCTTTATTTTCTTTCTTTTCCTTTTGGTGGTGATATCATGTATCGATTCATGTTAGCCGACCCCAATATCTTTTGGGACTGAGGCTTGGATGTTGTTTAACTTATATTTGTGAAATATTGATTATTGTATTTTAATGAGTGAAATGCGTGAAACATGCGTGAAATATTGATTATATATAGTACTCCGTAGTACTCCCTCCGTCCCGTTGGAATGTTTCCGCTTTCCTTTTTTGGATGTCCAGTTGGAAAGTTATATTTCCCTAAACGGAAAGTTATCCTACATCAAAACAGGGTCAAACAGTGTCGAAACAGTGCCAAACAATGTCGAAACAGTGTCAAAACAGTAAAATTTACCCCCCTGGTAAGTTTATTTCCTTAATATGTGTGTAGGTCAAATCGGGAACATTCCAACGAGACGGAGGGAGTATTTTAGTTTGTATTTGTGAAATAATGTGTGAAATACAAAAATACATATTGATGGTACCATGGATTCTGACCATGGCCCGATAACGTAGTCCAGCCTATAATGGCCAATGGAATCAGCCCTTACGGAGTTCATATTAAATAAAGCAGTAGGCCCGATTAGGGATCAAGCCCACGAGAGGAACCCACAATCAGGCCGAGCCGGACAGGCAGGTCTCGAGCCTGGGCGGAGTCCTAGTGAGGCCAAGTTATTCCTAGGGTTTACGTGGCAGGCTATGATTTGAACATAAGCTGTTTGGCAGCAGGCAGGACTTAACGGGAGACATATTTGCCTGATATGTACTTAGCCAAATATGTGGCTTGGTTGTGGGGATTTCGCTCGAGGCTGGCGAGTGCACGGTTCTTCGACTTTCCCTCTTTTCTTTGTGGGGATTTCACTCAAGGCCGGCGAGTGCACGCTCCTTCGGCTGTCCCTCTTTTATTTTGTGGGATTTCGCTCGAGGCCGGTGAGTGCACGGTCCTTCGACTGTCCCTCTTTTATTTGTGGGGATTTCGCTTGAGGCCGGCGAGTGCACGGTTCTTCGGCTGTCCCTCTTTTTGACTTCCTCTTTACTTCTTTGAGTGAGGAGTGCGGGATCCTTCTTTCAGGCTCGACCGAGGGGGTTACTATTCCCTTGGCCGGTAGGGAGTCCAGGAGGGCAGTTGTTAGTCCTCTAGAGTTGGATCGTTCCTTATTCTTGGGGGGTCCCATCGTCTATTTACGGCGCGGGCTAGGCTTTTTGTCACCTCGGCCATTCTTTCAGGCTTGTCATCCTACGTATTACGCGGGGACGACGCGGTGAGCTTCCCGTTTAAAGACGTGGGCCATTTTGCGGGCCCTTCGTCCTGGGACATCATCGGCCATACCTGAGCGTTTCGCTCTAAGGAGCTGATACGATGTGATGTGTTGTGTGGCATCCTTTACTTAAATTTGCACCAAATAAGCGGAACTCAATAGGTGCGTTGTTCATGGCAACGGCTTTTGGGTGACGGGATTAGCGTCTTGGAGTGAGGTGTATCGTTTACCGCTTTTAGGCACAATGCCGTATGCGGCCGATAGCGACTCTCACACTTAGATGCCCGAGCCACCAAATAAAGGTGACTGGGGTAGGTCGATGGACCTAAATATAATTCGTATCATCAAATAAAGATGTTCGGTAGGTTAGAGCTCGGGTTGCACCATTTTTGGAATTTTAACCGGCTAGTAGGTAGCTGGCCATCGCCGAGGGTCCGCCGATGGGAACCGAGGACGATGCGGTGGACGAGGGTCCTCTGGACGAGGGTCCGCCGATCTGGCCATCGATGCGGCACCACTGCAGGGGGGTCTGTTGTTTGACCGAAGTGACCTTGGATGAAGGAGGTGCAGCTCTCTCCGCCGATGCTACGCCACTGCAGGGGGTCCGTTGTCTGACCGAAGTGACCTTGGACGAAGGAGTTGCAGCTCTCTCCGCCAATGGCGCACTTCTGGCTGACCTGTGTTTGTTAACCTTGGCCGGAGTGAAATTCTTCCAGTTATATGGCTGATGATCGTACGGCCGATGGTGTAGTCGAGGTGATCCCCGATGTTGTAAGGTTTAGCCGAGGGGTGGAGCACTACTGTTGCTCTGTTGTTTGCATTCTGTTCACCTTGGCCGAGGAGCGCCTGCTTTCCAGTTGTATGAAGGGTCCTGTTGGCCTCTCTAATGACCTTGGCCGAGGACGACGCGGTGGACGAGGGTCCTTTGGCCGAGGGTGGAGCCACTCCTGTTCCCAGGATGAAGGGGGGATTCGTCCTCCTTCTGCACAAGTTTGACCGAAGAAGGGCCGTTCGTGACGAGGGGTGGTGATTAGCTTTCCTTGGCCGAAGGGATTGCCTTTCCCTGTTTGAGCCGATGGTTAGTTTTGTTTGGCCGAAGAGAAGCCAACTGTTGCTCGAAGATGAGGATTCCATTTGGCCGAGGTTAAACTTAGGCCGGTATTTGGCTGAAGAGAAGCCACGTGCTGCTCGAAGCCAAGGGTCCCATTTGGCCGAGGGATGATCTCAACCATCAGTGGATGGGGGTGACCAACCTTTCTTATGCTAATGCTATCGATCCCCTGGCCATCACCTGCGATGCTCCTACTTTCTTTGGTCGAAGCGTGAAACTTGTCTTGGTTAGGATGGTGTCTTGATTTTGACAGAGGGGTCAACTCTTGACCCAGGGATAGCTTAAGGCGTCTTGGCAGCCGTAGGTTGTCCAGATATCGCATGGTAGTTTGGTGAGGGTGGCAGATGAGTATATCAAACCTGTCATCTTGCTCCTAGGCCGAGGGGGCATGTTGCCCCAACTAGGGCCGAGGTGGTACCATGTCATCCGTTTATATGATATGTTATTGGTTGGGAGGGTCTCACTTGATGTATTCTAGCTCTCAATGAAAGCACCAAATGATAGAGTATTAACTCTTAGAGAGAAGGGAGAGCTAGAGAGATAAGTGATACTCTCTCCGTCCCACTAGAAGGTTCCCGTGAACGGTTTACGATTCTTGACTGACGATAAAGCAACTTAATCCATGTTCACACACTGATTATTTTTAGTAAATAAAATTAACATATTCAGAAACTACATTAAAACTGTTACAAAGCCTGATAAAAAAATGTATATTTGGTAAAACTTTGATTTATAAAGTAAAAGATTAAAAATGATTTAAGTTGACCATGAGAATAGGGGACGGGAACCTTCTAATGGGACGGAGGGAGTATGTATTAATGAATTTCCAACCCTTTACATGGCTCCCATATGGAGTAATGAATTTCCAACCCCTTACAATATAAGGCCTCTAATGGGCATAATAGGGCCACTAATGGACTGGATACATGATTTATTTGTCTAAGTGTAAAGATACATTCTGACGGAGCTTCTTGGCCGATGCGGCTACCAGGCCGAAGGGGTGCCAGGCCGATGCGGGTACCAGGCCGAAGGGGTGCCAAGCCGATGGGAGACCCACTTCTGCCTTGGGCTCTTGGTCCGTGATCTGAGCTCTTTTGGTTCCGACCGATGGGGTGCCATCTGGTCGATGCGACGCCACATGGTGACGGTCTTCTGTGTTTAATCTTCTGAGTATGTGAGCTATGGGGGTCTGGACCCATATACTCTATCACTTAGTATTCAAAAAATGTACACTTTTTGTATACACGTTTGTGCACTGTTCTTTGTTCACTCGCATGCAAAAATAGGTAATTATTGACTTTTAGTATTTGTATACATAAATTGATTTTCGTGCAACCAAAATTCTGTAAAAAAACACACCAATTAATGTGATTTGTATGGAAGTCAATGTCTATACACAAACACTAGTTGTCTGTATACACACAAAAAGTGTTTGTGCACATATATTTTTATATGTGTGCAAACATGTTTACGGACAAATTTTATTCACACAAACAAAATTTATTCACACATTAAATTAGAGCTCATTTGGTAACATTTAAATTGACTGTATTGGCTAATTTGACTGAAATTTATGAAATTCTGATTGAAGTGACTCGTTTAATTGATTCTTCTAAAGTACGAATAAAATATATTTTATAAATAAAATAAAGGAAAAATTATATGAAAAACAACTAAAATGACCATCTACTGTAATTTCAATCCATACAATCGTAACTTCAATCTTAATTTTTCTCATTATTACACGATTTAATACTTGAAATAAAACTTACGTGCAAGTGTATCTACTTTTTTGTAAACCGAGTGTAAACGGAAGTGTACACCAACCACTACACTACAGTAAAATGAAACCTTCAAAAGTGACTTAAATGATTAATTAGGACCAGTGCCTTTATATTGCCAGCTGAGCTGGTGATGCAATATTTCGTACGTTTTTGTCTTCATTCTTTTCCTATGTAAGTATTTAATAATTACTCTCTTTCTTCCTTATTTTAATGTTTGCTATATTTTCCTTTTCGGAATATATTTAAAAGTTTGCTACATTTTCATTTTTGGGAAGTGTAATTTTTATAAAATACTCAATTTCAATTAATTTTTTTATTTTTATCTTCTCTTTCATATTTTTACACTCACTCTCCTACTTTTTATACACTATTCATTACTCTACTATTTCACTTCTTAAATAATGTGCCAAACATAATGTATGACATTCAAATACGGAGTATATTCATATACAAAGGTGAACTAATACAGAAAACTCATTCATATGAGTGTTTCCAATTTTTATAAAACAAGAATAGAAATTATGGAATTAAGTTACCTCAAGGGTTCAAGGTACGTGCCCGTTTGGTAATTAAATTGTTTGTAGTTTGACACCTTTATCAAACTCCAATTTATTGATTTAAATTTGTTAATAATAATAAAATAAGTTTGGGTTTTTCTTTTGGCTGAACTCTTCCGAGTTGTCCGTTTTAGCTCTTTTATCTATTAAATTTTTACTACAACTTGATTTTGAAACAATTGATAAAATACTTCGATCAATTAAAAAAATCAATCAATTATCTCATTTCAATTACGAGTTCAACAAATTCAATCCATTTATACTGAAGTATGAAATGATAATTATGAAAAAAATAAATACTATGAAATAGTATACGGTTCGCCGAGTCAGAGTAAATATTATGAAATTTGTACTCCATATTTCTCATAATTTAGTTATCATGTATTATATTAAATTGTGCATCATAACAATCGTGACAGATATACTCCTAATAATTATTCCTTCCGTATTTTAATGTTCTACATTAGGTTGGACACATTATTCAAGGAATAAACTAGTACGAGTAGTGAATTGTATAGAAAAAGTAGAAGAGTGTGTGTAAAAATATGAAATAAAAGATAAAAAGTAGATAAGGAAAGATTATTTGAATATTTTATAAAGGGTAAACTTACGAAAAATAGAAGTGTGGAGAACTTTTAAATACAGCATAAATTTTCGGTGCATGAAACTTTTAATACAGAGGGAGTATCATATACTCCGTATAACCAAAAAAACATCTTCAATAATAAATTCAAAGAATCTTTAACTGAGGTTTTCAAGAATATCTAAGCAAATACGTAGGTTTCGAGCAAGAGAAAAGGCCTCTTCGCCTAAACTCTCTACTGTTGCCTGCTAGCACTATAAGGATTGATTATTGGGTTTATCTGCTTCGTTTTAATGGTTTCAGTCTTTCACGGCTCCAAATTATCTCATTGTGATTTCAACGCTTACAGATTATTGATAGAGGTATGATTCGTTTGGATTGTTCTTCTCTTCTGATTATGTTGATTTTTTTCTTTGGTGTTTCTTTGTAGAGCACTGGTGCTCCCGGGTGGTGTGTCTCCCTCGATTTGAGAAGTTCTTTCGGTGTGTCGGCCAACTTTGTCTGCAGGAAAGGGATTTCCGTCTGCTTTCTAGAGTGCGTAGACATTGGTTGAGCTCATTCTCCTCCAGAACCACCCCGTGCCATTAAGAGTTTTGTGGAAACTTTATTTCAATTTTATTTTTTCATTAAAAGTATTTGTTTTTATTTTAGTTTGAGTATGTTTGGTTTGAAAATTTGAACTTGTGGACTATGTTTGATAGGCAGTATTTCGAGCCTGGTTGTTTTATATTGTCCGCATGTCTAGTGAATCAGGTTGTTTTGTATGAGATGGCTGATTCTATGTCTATTCCTTGGATTCACAGTCGAATCTGTAATAACTGTCCGGATGTTATCTTGTATCTTGTCTCGTTTTTTATATAAAAAATGGATCCTTTATATTAAAAAAAAACAATCCTGACAGATATATTCATACGAACTTTAAATGCATTTCTTACGGAATGGCAACTGCCAAACCCTGAAAGGTGAGAACACATTCCACATGAGAAAGACTATGGGCAACTTTTGATTGGTTCAAGCTCTTAAAAGCTCCCATAAACGTACCAAAAAATATCGATAATCATTAATAAGAACAGTACAAATAAAAACTGAACTATTGGAAATGAAATGACCAGATTTTTTACCCGCAGGTGCAAATAATGAGTTAACTGAAAAATTATGACCAGTAGATAAAAATGATTTGATTGTTTAATTTTCGGGAACCCGATTACATAATCGCTAGCCTTTTTTCTCTTAATTAAAAGGGATTGAATAAAAAAGAGAAACGGACGGACCTGATGACCGAAGCAGATGCCTAGAACCTTCTTCTTCATGGCATCCAACTTGGTGACGAGACTGAGGAGATTGCAGATCCAGACGTCGTTCCCGTGCGCATCGCCGCAGCTGCCGGTGATGACGTATCCGTCGAACTCTCCGATTTCGTCATCGGCCGGGAACTCCCCTTTCGACACGCGGAAAACACTCCACGTTTCTCCTTCCTCGGCCAGCATTCTCAGGAAAACGCCATAGTAACCGCCGTATTTCTGCTTCACGTACTCCGAGTCCTCCGCGCACAGCAGAACTGCGAACTTCTTTCCTTCTTCCATTAGTAATTGCTATTTTTATACTTCGGAGTACTATATACGTAGTATTAGACAGACGAATTCTTCTTCCTCTGTTTCTATATGTTATACGGAGTATTGTATTTATGGAGGGTGTAAATACAGAGTATTGTTTATTGGAGGAACGATATGGAGGAGTCTTCGTCCTCATATATTTAAGTCAAAATCTCAAGTGTCACACCATTGGATCACATGAAGCGCAAAGTATGGACTATGGACGGCTAAATATGAAGTGCTCACGTTTGATATAGTGATACAAATTACAATACATTTTTTTGGGAAAATGGTCAAATAGGCTTTCAAACTATCTTTGAAAGCGCAAATCACCACTTATAGGAGGCTCTGTCCGGCTTTTGTCATTTGGACGATTTTCGGTGGAATTTGTTGATGAAATTTTTTGAACATCTTCTTCAGCTAAAAATCCAACCGGGAAGGCAGTCAAATAAATTTTGAAGATAACTGCGCAGTTAAACAGGGCAGTACATTTCAGAAAATATTTTGCCTGTCTTCCCAGTTGTATTTTTATCTGAAATTTGGTATGGGTAAACTAGACTTAATGAAGAAGATGTCAAAATATTTCATCAAAAAATTCCACCAGGAACCGCCCCAAATGGCGACGGCCGGACAGAGCCTCCTATATACGGACGGGGTGATTTGCACTTTTTATGTTAGTTCGAGGTTCTATTTGACCCTTTTCCCGTTTCATTTAAACGAAGGTGGCTTATATTAAGATAACATAACGTAAACAGGGTACAGAACGATAAAAAATATTTTGTCCGTTGTCGAACCATACTTAGAATCTATCGCCTCCTTAGAAGCAATATGATTCGATGATCCTTTAATGGGCTTAACTGAGTGAATGTCAGACAAATCAGACTACTCATCACATGTCCTAAGTTCTAGAGTTTTTTTTGCTGGAAAAACACAGCACAACCAAAACAACATAAATATCCAAATAAAAACGAAACATGAAAGAAACATAGACTAAATAAAAATGTCCTTTAAACAGCAAAAAGATTTGAATCTTCAAGAGCTCTGGCGGGCCTGGGAACCGTCTACATCCATTTCCTCCCCCACACAGTCTCCCCGCTCCTGCTCATCCCATGTGCGCCTCTTGATCTTCGGGCCCTCCATCCAGCTGAGTCGCTCGTGTGCCAGCAATAGACATCAACCATCCCTGTGAATCTGCCTTCCTATTCGGGTCTAGGTCCTTATCTATCCTAGGACTTTCTGTTCTGTTGCATGCTCCTGTTGTTGAGCTCCCCTCCGTAACCAGCCGTTTATTGCCCAGAGAAGGACGCGACTTCCTTCCTCCCACTCGCAACCACGTGCCAAATGGGTTGGCTAGAATCTGATCCCCTTTCTCGTACATAAGTGGGCAAAATTTCTCTGCATGTCCTATGATCACAAACAAAGCAAAAACCCTCCCTTTTGCTTTTCTTAATGCTAGTGCCAATTTTCAGGGGTTTCCCCCATCCAAACAAACTCAAATCCTCATGTATGCCTGCCACTTGTCATCGAATTGGTTGTAATTGTATGGCACATTGTGCACTTGCACCCAGAAATCAGCTGAATTCAAAGGGACCTTAAGCGTGAGGTCCCTGGGTTCGATAGCTCTTAAAACTAGTAAATTCAGATCAAATAGCCATGGGCCATTTTCTAGAACACAATCCATGTCAACAGAGTGGTAGAATTTTATGAGGTACCTTTTTCACCAATTTCCTTTATTGGCTCCCCTTTCCTGGCCGCCACAGAGCCGCCATGAGATCTTTGAAAATCTGGAACCGCACCACCTTGTCCGTGATAAGCAAACCGAACATCGGGAATTCTTCTACTCGGTTAATCTCCGTCCTGTCAGCCCCTTCGCCCTCATCGTCAATCACCAATTCGTCAGACGCTTCACAAATATCCAGGTCATCGTACTGCACAATCAGATTATCCACCGAACTAGGAGTCTTTGACATCTCATCTGCTTCAACTCTTGTCTGCTGCGCAACTTCTTCCATCGACGAGCGAAGAACAAATCCACGATCAATCTCAACACCAGCGAACAAAACATTCGGTCTCATAATCGTCCTATCTACTGGAAAGCAGCCGCACTCAATGACAGCAAAAGCTAAACCCTAAGCATGGGAGATGCTCGCATATTTGCTATAACTGAGAGTCGGCTTTTTAGAAAGTGTTCTTTTTGTGATCCCCAAATTACAATACATTAATGAGTACAATAGTACCCCTTTTCAAATGAAAGTTATAAATTTTACATATTTATGAAATTATTTTTAACAAGATTATTTTAAAAATTTTTTATCATTGTTTTATTATAAAAAATTCCTATAAAAATATTCACTTGCTCAAAGTTTAATTTTATTGACCAAAAAAACTAAACAAAATAAAGTTTCAAGGGATGATATGGTATAATTTCGATATGAATTGTTTATTTCAAAACTAATTTGATTGGTCAAGTTTAGTCGGGTCTAATTTGATCGGTGACTGAAACCGGTCCAAATGAAAATTTTAAAAGCAATTACTTCAAGAAGGAAACTAATTTTTAATAATTTGTACCAAGATTTATCCCTATATGTGGAAATAATCATCATAAATATTCACGACAAATAATGAAACGAGGCAGGGAAATAGAATATATAAGTCATGTTTTGTAATTAGATGTTAATTGGTAGTAGACAACAGATCATTTTAGCTGGTATGACCAGCTGATAGTAAGTAGCAACAACTGGTATGATTGGCTGATAGTGTTGAATGTTTACAAAAAAGTGTTTGATAAATTTGTTCATTTTTAGTTGATAGCATGTGAATTGACGTTTGAGGACATGAATATATATATATATATATATATATATATATATATATATATATATATATATATATATATATATATATATATATATATATATATATATATATATATATATATATATATATATATATATATATATATATATATATATATATATATATAGGGGAGGGTTCCTGTGAGAAAGGAGTCTGGGGAGAGAAATGAGAATAAAATCTAACCATCAAATACATGAAATCAAAGGCTAAGATTGAATACAAATTAATTGTGGCACATGGTAATTATGTTGAAATTTGAATGGCTATTAGTATCCTAAGAGGAACGGTTTTAAGTCTAAGGGCAAAAGTGTAAAAGTCATCATCACTTAATTTGGAAACATATAACCGTAGCTCAATTTTTTCATACAAATAGGATTGGATCATTAAATGCAATACATAAAGCCTATTGATTCAGACTATTTTTTCCTTTAATAGTTAATTTAATTAGGTTGTTACTTTACATAATAAATGCAATCCAGATATTCAATTAAATGTGTCAATTGTGTGGGTGCACTGTTATTCAAATTCCTTTGCACTTTGGAATTGTGAAGGTTGCAACGATTCTTTCCAAACAATAAATTACATTAATTCTCTTATTAAATTTTATTTCTAAATTTTGTATTCTCTCACATAAAATTCGGATAATTAATTTGGTAAAGAAAATATACTAATTGTGCATTATTTTTAATATTTCATCAACAGAATCCATCTAGATTTGTCCATTTGCACTCCGATATTAAATTGATGCACTTTTATTAGAAAAATTATGCATCACCGATTTTATTATATATTTGAATATTTTAATTGCACTAATCGTAATTGAAAAATAAATTGCACTTTAAACATACTATTGTGCATTTCCCTACATCTTTCTAATCAAAATGAATTGAAAAAATAAAAACAAGTAGACACAGGTATAAAAAATACATGGTTATACTGTCATGTGCATTCAAGTATATACAAAAGTGCATAAGTATACAACACTATAAAATTTTACAATGATAATATGTTACCCAAAATGAAATGCACTTTAAACATGTGCATTTAAATATAAATAAAAGTGCATTGTCGTCTCACACGTTTCTAAAATTTTGCATAGACATTGCAGTGCAGTTATAACACTAAAAAGGTGCAATATTTATAATTACATTAGTGCAACTTTTTAGTAAAAGATAGAGTATAATAATAAATGAAAATGCATTAAAAAATAAAGTAGAAGATATTTTTAAACATAAAGTAATGAAATGATCGAGATTTTATACAAAACATGGAAAATAGATGTCTTCCTCCGTGATATCGAACTTCAGAATGATGAAAGTGTGAAAGAATCAAATGATGAGATAAAGAATTTTATTTTTATTGGCTAAGCAAATGAAAAATAATTTGATAAAGATTCTTTTGGAATTGTGAAGTAATAAAAAACAAATCGGATGATTGGTCATCCATGATTATAGGGAGTCATGTATGGAAACAATTGAAAGATTAATGGAAGTAACCGTATAAGTTTATTATGGTGCCAAATTCTCTTATTTACCCTTAATGAAATATTAAAAGACTTCAAGATCTAATGGCTATAAATCATTCTCATTTCTCTCCTAAGATGATATTCTCACTTGAACCTAAATCTATATATATATATATATATATATATATATATATATATATATATATATATATATATATATATATATATATATATATATATATAGGGAAGAGATCAAATAAAAAGAGGTTCTCCCGTGCAAAGTGCGATCGATTGCACTTTTTCCTTACTGCGTTTCACTTTTGCGTGTTTCTGTTGCACTTTTTCGCAATGACAAAAAACTTTGTTTTAATTACGAAATTGCCACCGCGTTTTTGGTCAAATTTAGTTCACTTTTGGCTCATTTTGAGCCATTAGATCTGGAAATGAATGCACGCGATTAATTCTCACTTTGCATGGGAAGACCTCTTTGTATTTGAACCCTCCCCTATATATATATATATATATATATATATATATATATCTTTGAATATCTTTGAATATATATATATTCAAAGATATTTGAATGATTAATATTGGAACTGTTGGAAGATTTGGGAAAATATATGAACATCCAAAGATATTTTCAATTATATCTTTGGATGCAAATATTAATATATACTCATGAAAATATGCGGATTGAGGTTATTCCTATATTATAAATATCCAAAGATATTTTCAATTATATTATAAATATATGCTCCTTATCATATATGTATAAGTATATTCCTATAATTCTGGGGTCCCTTAAAAAAAATCAGGGCCCTGAGGCATGTGCCTCAATGGCCTCATGATAGACACGGCCCTGCTCGTCCCCATCTCACATGCAAACATGTTTGAAACTGAAAGTGAGGGAGAATGACAAACATCACAATATTGAAGGCCTTAATTAACAGAAGAAGATAAAAGGCGTAAAATAGAGAAGTTGTTAACCATATCTACTCTAAGGAAACTTTAGAGAGACGTTATTATTAACATAGCCAATGAGTTCAAAGTCATAAGAGAAACGGTCCACATGATACGAAAGAATGCAAAAGAACATATGCATGATGGTGTAGCCATAAAAGTGCAAAACAACTTGAGAGGTAATGTAGGCAGAAAAGGGATTGCCTTAGATAGTTAGAAAATGAAAGAAATATCATTGCATCAAAGTAAAAATATGAGAGCTATGGGCTATGCTCGGAAGTGTCCAAGTATACAGTCTGTAAGTGATATAAAAGAAAGCAAATCAAAAGGCATTGTAGTGTTGTCAAGCCACTTCGTACAGTTGTTGGAAACTTGAAAAGGTTAGAATACTGTTTGAGTCATATAATTTAACATTCCCCACCACCAACCCCTATCTTCCATGACTTCTATGAGTACATACACATTGATGAAAAGTGGTTTTAGCTATCAAAAGAAACAACCACATTCTACACTATTCCAACAGAAGAGGATCCATACAGAACAACGCAATAAAAAAGTTCATTCCAAAGATAATGTTCCTAGCAGTTGTTGGTAGGCCAAGACTATAAGATAATGAGGAGATTTTATGGGATGGAGAAATAAGCATATTTCCATTCACACATGAAGAACCGGCCAACAGGTCAAGAAAAAACAGACTTGCTGGAACTTAAGAGACAAAGTCAATATTAAGTGTGACTAGACCAGTTATCAAAGACATGATCCTAAATAGAGTTGGAGAAGTGGCCACATTTAAAAAACAAGCATGTCATACATAATACAACACGACAATGCACGCCCTCATATTGGGGCTAATGATCCAGACTTTGTCAGGATTGAAACACATGATGGCTAGAACATTGATCTGAAATGCCAGCCTCCAAAGTCTAGACTTGAATGCTCTAGACTTGGGATTCTTTGGGGCAATTGGTTCAATCAAAGATCACAACGAGCCAAAGAATATTACAGGTTTAATTGAAGCTGTAAAAACTTCTTTCAATGAGTTTACACCAAGCACATTGAACAAAGTTTTTCTAAGCTTTCAATGCGTAATGGAAGCAGCATTGCAGAACAATGGGAGACAACTTCAAATTGAACCATATAGACAAAGTCAAGTTGGAAAGGCAAGGACTATTACAAAAAAATGTCCAGATTAATGCTCAAATGTATGAAACAGCTAGAGCATACTATAAAGGACAAGTGGTAACTATCAATGCAGGCCAATCATCAAGACAATTCATGAATGAAGAATATGTATATCTTCAAATATGAACTATGACAGGTTTAGTTTTGAATTTTGTGTTCTACACACAAGTGTTAATGCCTGTTTGTATGCTTTTTGTATGTACATTGGTATGGAAGTACAAGTATTAATGTATTGCCATGTACTATGTGTACAATGTTTTGTAAGCTCAAATGAAAAGTTCTAATGCCATGTAGTATTTCAGTTTCAATGAACACATTTACAAATGTAAACTCTTAATTGGGTTTCAAACAATAGTGAATAGCAATTAAATAGAGCCTCCTTCAATTTTTCAATTTGGCGGCATTAGTGCAAAACAATATGTTAAATAGACAACAAATTCAGTAAACATGAACTCAAGCCCCCTAACATCATTACTTTCCTAGTAAACACTAAACCTCAATCCACATAAACACATGGTACTAACAATGAAACAACAAACATGTAATTCACCATAAACATTTTCAAAGTACACAGAAATAGGGAGTACAAGCTACTTCCCTTTGAAGTCGCACTGTGGCTCCTCCCCCCTTCGTCTGAACCATCCTCTGAACATGTCAGGTTGCCATCTTCATCTAGACACCTCCTCTCCATCTTCCAACCCGCCGTATGTGTCGGACACTAGTTGTCCCCATATTTCTTTCGTATTGTCCAATTCGGATATGTCTCAGACTCACTTGAGTCACCAAAATGAAGAATTCTATAGAAAACGACCTCGCTGGTGTTGCATGCAATGGATCTATAGGCCGACCATTTTCCAATTTGAGATCTAAGACCGGTGTGAGCTTCCCTCCATCTAAAACACTTTCCGATTGCACGTGTAAAGTTAAAGGAGGGGGTGTCACTGCTTACAGAGATTAGGGTTCAACCACGACTTGGTAGAGAATGAGGTTGCGTTGGAAGAGAAGGGGTAGATGGGTAGCAGTGGAGTGGTGGGAAACAACTGAGAGACAGGGGAAAATGGGTATATAGAGGAGACACGGTGGATGAGTAGCAACGAAGTGGTAGTACACGACAGAGAGAAGGATGAAGGGAGTATGCTGGTGGAGAAAATAATGAATGAGATGAGAGTATGTGGTTGAGAATATCAACAAGTAAAATAAATGGGGCAGTTGGTTGGGGAGATGAATGAGATAGGATAATTAACATGAAAGGAGTGGGATGGTAAATTAAATGTTGAAATAAACCAAAATGAGAAGTGTGACTTTTATTTTGGGACATTCATTTAAGGAAAGTGTGACTTTAATTTAGGAGTGGAGGAATATTATTTATTAATTCCAACCAGCCTTTCTTGGCTTCTTAAGATGAAGAAGTTGATTAAAAAATTATTCACAAAACATATTATTTAGCTAGTCAACTAGTCAAAGCAACTAAATTTAGTTAAACTACCCCAAATATGGTTTATAAGCCATTTACCAAACATATCCATACAAATCAAAGTACTCATAACAACCAAATCCAAGTACATTTACTTAAGGGTAAGTCACACAAATAACCCTAGGTAACCCTACACCACCAAGTAGAAGCTCTATGATTAGCGTTGAAACATCACAACCAAAGCTTGTTTTGATTTTAATGGTCTTTATTTATACTCATAACCTTATGAATACCTTGGAACCAAACACACCAAATTTACGAGTCACCACAGTAAACAAAACTAAATGTGAAAATACAAAAGTAACACACATTAAAGCTACACACGACACAATAAATTGAACAAAAATGAAGTACCCATGAATCAACACAAGCAAGCTATTAATAAGTCATGAAACAAATTTGAAAACCCTCCATCTCTTAACTTCATATTTCCACCGTTTCATGCACTACCATCCTCGCGGAGTCTGACGTCTTTTAACTTGTGAGGCCTCTCAAGATGTTTTTATAATTCATCTTCTTTTATCCAACATATGCTTATTATCGCTTATGCAAAAATATAAAAATATAAGTACTTATAACTTTTATCGATCATGCTACAACTTTATCTATCCTAAATTTTAAAAAACCTTTTAAAATCATAATGTGTACTCCCTCCGTCCCAATTTAAAGGGTCTCGTTTGACTTTCACACAATTTTAGAAAATGTCACTGTTTGGATACTGTTTGACACTGTTTTACACTGTTTTGTTTATCAAATAAGGAAATGAGATGTTTATTTAGGGACGGAGGGAGTAAAACTTTAATGTAAACACATTTATCCAAAAGAACCTCTACCATGACTCAACTCAATTTGTATCCTAACTGCTTCAGCGCTTGAAAGTATGTAGATTATTGGTAAGTGAAAAACAAGTGATGAACACGATCTATATATAAAGTGATGAGCAATTGGGATGGCCCCTTTTCATGTGCATCATCCATCCGGCCTTTATTAGTTGTATACTTGCATATAAACTTTTATTTTTGTTTTCAGTACGTGTATTAGCTTTTTGTCTGTTAAAGCATACCATAAATAGCAATTAGACAAGTAGTGGAATGAAGTGGGTGGAGGGTCGCATCCTATCTCTGGTTAAATGTTTGTCCGTTTATGTTTGTTGTACCATGCCAAAGATATCTTTTAACCATGTGACCTAAACTTGCATATTAGTAACTACTACCTCCTTAACTTTTTTATCTTCCCATTAAAAATAAGTGAGATTATGAATTGTGAAAAGAGAAATAAATTACTAAGGTATGAAAGTGTGCTAAAATCCTCCCAAAAAGTTGTAATAGTGTATTATTTTCAAAATTAATGAGGATATAATAGAAGATTTAGAAATGACAAGATATGAATGTTACGGTTGAATAAGGAAAATGAGAAGATGTGAATGTTAAGGAAGGAGTATTACTTTGGTCCTATTTCCCGCTTTTCTTTATCAGATGTTGCTAAATAGACTCACTTTTCTTGTTTGTTATACGAATTTCTATCAATTTAATCTATTACTCATAAGTTATAATGGTAAAGCAGTGTCAAACAGTGCACTATACAATAAAATTTACCCTTCCATGAGCGCGTGCTATTCAAATCAGAAAGTTTAAATAGGGATTAAGCTAGGGAGTATGAACTATGGAGTATTATATTAAATTGTGTACGAGTATATAACTAGAAATAAGTTACCTTTCAATTCCCTCCCCAAAACCTCAAATAACTTGATTGAAATCAAGAAAGTAGTGGTACACAATAAGAGCATTAGGTGTCTGAGATTGGCATGACTTAGACAAGTGGCTTTGGCGGCTGTATTATTGCTTGAGGTCTTCAAATCCTCCTTCCTCTCAAAAATATCTGTTTTGATTTGTTTGTTGGAGTGTCAAATAATATTCTAAGTTTTCTTTCAAATACAGATCTATATATTTTGTATTTTGAAGTATCACAATCTTAATAAATCTAATTAAGATCACATGATTTCGACATACTCTTGTTTAAATATACGATGTCAAGTCAGGGGTGTTTGGATTTGATTCTTAAAACTGCTTCTGCTCCTTTAGGGAGCAGAAGCAGAAGTTGGAGTGTTTGGGTAAAAGTGCAGAAGTGATTTTGGTGCTCTAATTTACTCCTAGAATCAGTTTTTTAGAAGCTGGGGGGACCAGCTTCTTAAAACTGATTCTGATTCTGCTTCTGCTTTAAAAAAGAAGCAGAATCAAAATCAGTTCCAAACACCCCCTCAAACGAGAAATTAAACCTTTTTGAGACCTGTGAGTAGCATATATGATGACCATATTTGGATTCAAAACTCATCCGCGCATGAACTAGAAAGTGTATTAATTTGTTATGAGTCTCTACATGTATGAACTATGTATGTCTGATACATGCGAGTTGATGAAAAAGTTCTTTTCAACATCTAGTAAAATTGAGTCATTAGTGACATGTTTCACGACGACAATGACACTAAATCACCGGTAACAATGATAGTGACACGGAGGCGATTGCCGTGACATCGACAACAAACATTAATAGTGACATAGTAAACTCATTGTAACAAAAGAACTGTCACTAACATAATAATAAACTAAGAGCGTGTTTGGTGACACTGTTTTTCGGGTTATTAGGCTTATCAGACAACTTTTTCACCAAACATCAACTTTAGATTTCGTGCGCTGAATTGTGTAATAATAAGAAAAAGTAAGTCTGAAGTTACTTTTCTGACTGTATTGGCTGAAGTTACTGTAGAGGATCATTTTAGTTATTTTCTCGTATAATTTTTTCTTTATTTTACTATTGAAAGATATTTTAAATATAATTTTTTCATAAATCAGCAGAATCGGATCATCCAACCACTTCAGCTATAACTTTATAAATTTCAGCAGAATCAGCCAATACAGCCAATTTAAGTATCACCAAACGGGCTCTACTAGTGACATTCATGAATCATGGTTTTCCAAATTTATCACTCTTCACATTTTTATCTATATATAAGAGTAGTTCTTTTTTGGAATTGAAGAAGTTAATGACATGTCGAGACTCAAGCATAGGATGATTAAAACTTTAAGAGCCCGTTTAGTTACCTTGCTTAACAGGCTTATCAGCCAAATTTTTCACCAAACAAGTAAATTTTGATTACACACGCTGAATTGTGTAATAATAAGAAAGAACAAAGTTGAAGTTACTTTTCTGGATGTATTGTCAGAAGTTACTGTAGAAGATCATTTTAGCTATTTTTCATATAATTTTTTCTTTATTTTATTAATAAAATATATTTTAAATATAATTTTTTTCCATAAAATCATCAGAATCAGACAATCCAGTCAGTTCAGCTAGAACTTCATAAATTTCACCAGAATCGGTCGATACAGCTGATTTGGGTATTACGAAACGGGCTCTAAACTTCTTCCTCACTATAAAAATGATTCTTCCTAGCTAATACACCAAATTAAACTAGTACGTAAAAGGTTAGAATGATTATTCATAAAAAAGATTCTTCCTAGCTAATACTATCTACTACTCAAAGTGACATAATTATGCCGAAAGGGCCCAAGCAAATTCGTCAGTAAAGTAAAATATTGGGACATAATCACATGTTCACCATAATAACTTACAGAGCAGTTCAAGGCCGGCCAGCACCTGCAGCTTCAGTTCCAGCATTCACTTTGAGTAATACCTCTGCTACTTCACCCACCTGCCTGACATGGGTTATAACTTATAAGAGTAAGTGACCCATGACCTTATGGCTCAATCTGATGAACTCTTGATGCCCGCCCCCGCCCATAAAGCGGTGGGATGAGTAAATCATCATGTTTTAATATCACAACTTTCGAAAGGAGCCTCGCCCCATAAAGCGGTGGATGAGTAAATCATGATTTATCACAATCTCGGGAAAAAATGATCCAGCGTCCGGCATGCATAATGAGCCATCTCTTGTGTTATCAAACATTACCACATTGCATCTTCTCCCTATTTAAATTTCATCTATTCTTTTTTGGAATGTCCTAACTCCTAAGTTTTTTCTTATTTACTAAAGAAATTTAAAAGTTCACTTTTGAACGTATTTCTTTAAACAATATGGAGGGCCAAGGCGCTCTGATCAGCATGTGAACTACCTATTGTGTCCAAATTCCCAGTTTGGACATGATTGATTAGAATGAAGAAGATTACCAACAATATTTACATCTAAAGTCATACGCAAATCAGTGTCATATTGGTCATTTTATATCAACATAAAAACAAAAGGAGATAATGACATATAAGATACTTCATTAACAACGCATAGTTTGTTCTATACCCCTCTAACCATTGGATATACTAATGTGAGTCAAACTTCACACCTTTTTCTGCTTAATTGGTATCTAACTCCAGTGATAGATCAAGATCAAGAGAGCTAAAAAGCCGACGGCGAATCTCATCGTGAAAGTGAGGATTAGGGGAGCTCCAAGTTGATGTGTCGTCTTCAGAGGAGTCTCGATTGTTCATCATCATAAATTGCTTCCAACTTTGACCACCAAATCTCAGTTTCTCTTCCAAAGCAACACTTTCTGATGACAGCTCTTGTTTTGAAACCAGCCATTGTAGCCACCTGATCACTTCTTGGTCATGGTGTTGCTTCTCTTGAGCTAACCTTTTGTATTGTTTAAACTCCATTTCAATCCTGCTCTTGTCCTTCTGAAGTCGCAGAATCATAGCCATGGCTTCCTCTGCTGCACTTGCTGAAGCCATCCTTTCCTTCTCAAGGTCCAATTCAGCACATTTTGCTTTCCTTCTTTCAGCCTTTACCATTTTTCTGAGCGTAAAAACGTCGAATACCTTGTCTTCTCCATTACCATCTTCTTCTTCTTCTTCTTCGTTATTTTCATCATTTTCTTCGGCTCTCTCTTCCAGCATACCCATGTCAGGTAATGTGCTGTAGTTCTTCCATGGTTTACCAGATCCAATCTTTGAGCCAGAATGCAAATCAAAACCATCTTTTGAGCGAAACCCACAATTTAATTCCCTGGAATGCATAACCAACCACTTGAAGAACCAATTCATTAGCCCCAGAAGAAAAAGCAAGAACAGACACAACATGTTGAAAAACAAAAACCCAAACCCAAAATCAAAATCCGTATCGAAATGCTTATAAAAATTGAAGCAGTCCATCACCAACCCACCAAGAAAGTAGGCCAAGAAGCTCCTGCAAAGCTCATGAGCACTACATAGAGTGAGCAGCAGACCTAGATGAACAAGAATCTGCATGTGGTCTGGAGATTTCAACAGTTCAATGCCAGTAATAGACAATTGGGTTGCAGAAACGACGATTAGCGGGAGAGAGTAGATGGGTAAGCCGGGGAGATGAGAACTGGGGGCGGAATTGAGGGGCTATTATGAAGAGTCGAGAGAGAGGCAGTGTGCTGCTGGATAATGCCGTTAAACCCCTGATAATGGCTTACGGTATTAAGGCCTGTTTTCAATGACAAATCTAGAAATTTACTCCAAAGTATATTGATTCCCATTGAATAGATGATTTCATTTTTACTATTTATTTATGACCCTCAAAGGCTCAAACCACATGCTTATGGGAAATAAATAGGGGCGATTTTCATCGTGTCAAATAACGGATTAGTATTTTTTAAAAAATATGGGAATCAGTTGAGAGTTCAATCGACACAACAATCATTTCTTTAAAAATACACAGGAGAAATTGGCTAAATGAAATTGATAATTATAAGATTGGTCGGATCAGCTGAAATTACTGAAACTTAATAAGTTTGTAATACTAAAGTTGGTCGAATCAGTTGAATCCACATAAATTGATTTAATTTTGACTATGCATCTAGATTGACTAGAATCTTCAAATTATGAAAAAAATATATTTAAAATGTAATTTTGTTACTTCGTAATAAAATAAGGAAAAAATTATATTTCTACGTATCATAATAAGTTCACAGTTTCCTTTTTAGGTTGTATAAAAATAAGTGTCTCATTTTCATTTTAGTAAATAAATCCACTCCAAATGAAAGTATTTTACATTTTAATAAAGTAATCAGTACCGCTAGAGTATCAAAAATCTTACTTTTTTAAAAAGAGAACAATAAACCTATAAATTATTTTAAACTACGTTAAAAGTCTATGACTCTTATTTTAATGTGAAGGGTGTACTACGGTATGAAAATAGTTAAAATGGTAATATGTAGTAACTTAAGTCAATTCAATCACAATAGTAACTTCAACTCTACTTATTTTAATTATTTCACAATAAAACTTGATAAAAAAATTATGCATTTTGTAAAAAGTTGATTGATAAAGCTTGTAATATTAAAAACATAAGATTAAAAGTGACACAAAATTCAAATAAAAAGGAAACTTCAATTTACAAAGTCAAAATGTCATTAAGAGAGTGGCGATTGGGATTTTATCATTCCCCAATCCGGCAATCCCCACAGGGTCTTGAGTTCAATGGGGGTAGGGGTCGTGTGTATAGAGTCATGAGAAAGATGAAATTGGGGGGTTTATCCTATTTGAGGAAAGTATATAACACACCACACATGATTATATTTTATATAATACATTAATACTCCTTTTGTCCCATTTTATTTATCCTACGTGCCATATATGCGCAATACTAACAAGTTTACCTCTTCTAGTGTTGATGATATATGTAATATATTTAATTAATTAGAATAAATTCAAAATAAATAATAAAAATGTCTACATATATGCCGCCAATGGGAGCAGTGAGAGATAAACTACGAGTTACGATGGAAGAGGGAGAGACATGAGACGGATATGAAAGAGCGATGACGTCTCTAGTGGTTTTCATCTTCACCGGTTTCAACATTATTCAAAATTTCATATTGAGATAAATGGTTGGAAACCTTTTTTGGCATTGTCAAGTTTTGGAAGAGTTAGATTCTAGCAAAGACAAACTTAGTTGATAGTTGATTTGCCCACAAGGGAATTTGTTGCTTCCTTAACCAATCATAGTTGATAGTTGATTTGTCACAAGGGAAATTTTTGTTTCTTTAACCAATCTCGAACATTCATACTCCATGTAATCTGTCAAGATCGATTGTTGCTCACTCTCTCACTCAATTATAAAATTGTTAATTACAGAGTATATTGTACACATAGTTATGCACTAAGAATATCCATAACATTACGTACAAGTAAAAAGAGTACTTAGTAGATATGCAGTAGAAGTAATTAGTACTCTTACCCCACATGGTCCAAAATCGTTACTACTAGATGCGCTCTAGATTCAATAATGGTCTCACAAATCAATGCAAGCTTTTTATGCACACACTATTCTCACTCGTGCACATTTTAAGAAATTTCCAAGGGTCACTCTTCACAATTGTCTTGATGAAGTATATAGATTCAAACTCACAGTCCACATACTCACAACACGCTTGGGCTGGTCCAGTGGGCCACAATCAACACCTTCGACTGGGCCCATCGTCTAGCCGAGGGCCCCGCAAATTGTAACGATCCAAATCATTTACACCAGCTTCTGATGCGAGTTAACGAGAATCACCCTCGTCTTTCATCTCCTCAAACTCAGAAGATACATTGATATCAACATGATAAAACTGGCAACAAAGCCCATCATCTATGCATGCATGAGGGCACCAGTGACACTACATAGAGGAGGCATCAATGGCATTACGTACCCCTTTTTATATGTGACAATGTTTCACTCATATACTATATTACTCGTGTACTTGTATTTATTGCGCTTAACATTTATTACAATTACAGTTGGCCTCAGTTTGAGCAGTTGTAAGAGTTCGAAAATCTTTATTGTAAGACATATTTTTTTCTTTACACATAACCATGTCTTCTGTCTATAATATATCACTAGCGGATTCTGATATAGCTAGCAAAACTATTGAGTTATTTTACATTGGGTTTATTGTTTGCTCGTGTTGTACATCTTAGCAGACAACTCAACTCAGACTATCCATATGTACTACTATGATTGTGTACAAATAATAAAGTTAATGGTCCAACTTGAGAATAACTTCTAAGCAATTGGCCGGACATACCTATATACTATGGCCCGTGATTTGTAGCAAATCAATTAAGTCATATTATAAGGGAACCTCTCGAAAAATGAGTAAAAACGTATTGAAATTTCAAAATAAAACAATGTTGTTTTTTATTTTATAAAATACAAGTAATTATTATCTAACTTAGAAAACATTGTCACGTTTAAAGTCTAGTAATAATAAAACATGACAATAATTACTCTTATTAGGGAATTAAATAAAAACATGACAACTAGAATTACACCCAATTTTTTATTTACAACTATGATCATTAATATGTTTTCTTATACTCCCTCTGTAACAAAAAGGTATTCCCACTTTGAAAGAAGGTAGATTATGAGTAGTGAAAGGGAATATATATTATTGATGGTATGATGGAAAGATAGTGAAAAGATGTGTTGAAATGAAGGATAAATTAAAAAAAGTACTCCTAATTCCTAATTCATGATTTTAACTTATAGTGTATTATTTTCAAAATTATTGAGGGTATGATGAGAAGATTTAGAAATGAAAAATTTATTTAATTTAGTTACGGTCGAAGAGGAAAGTAGGAAAATCTTTTTGGTACGAAGGAAAATCTTAGCACAATTGCATAACTAATTCCTAATTCATGATTTTAAGATTCTAATTTACATGCATTCTCATGTACGGATTATCATTAGGAAAAATATGTAGACATGCAGTGAAGGCTACGTAATCTCACACGGAGTATAAAACCTCGTAGTTACTCCATATGTCTCGTTTAGATTGTCTTTTGTTTTTAGTCTATTTCACTAAGACTGTTTAGGACTCGAACTTGTGACCTTTTGTTTTACCTGTGACCTTCTGTTTTGATATCAACAGTAATGTCATCACAAAGTACTTGACAACAAAACTTAGTTATTATTCACATCGAGTATAGACATTCTTTGCGAGCACATTAAATATAGACATTTACCTGCTCATCCAAAAATAGGTTAATGCAGTTTAATTCTTTCTTGTAGGAGAACTTGATAACATGTCACACTTTTAACGATTTATCTAAAATTGTAAACTATCTCCAATGAACTGCATTTGATCTTACATTTTTTATAGACTAATAATCAAGACTTTTTTTTTGAAAGGACAAATAATAATCTAGACTTGGGTGTTTGTTCTATTGTAAAGGAATGTTTTGCCTACTTCTAGTGTTTTACTGGTCCAATTATACTCCATTTATCCAGAATTGTTAATCAATAAACTGCACGATCCTGTATTCATCATCCAATGTCTAAAATTTAGTTTTCATATTAATGTGAAATGGAGCATAGTCTAGCAAGTAGCAACACTATCAAATATGGCCATATAAGAAACACTTATTAAAAAATTGTTAAATGAATGAATTGCCAAATTGTCGATATCATTTACTCACATCTTTTGTCCAAATCGTTGATATCATATGCTCGTATGTTGTGAAATCTTTTTTCGGCATCATTTTACATGTTGATCAAATTGTTTGCATATATACGTAGTATAATTTTTTTCATTTTGTGAAGAGAATGGTTTTCGTAGAGACTAAAAACAATTTTTTTCCCATTTTACTTTTCATATTTGTGACACAAACCATTTTTTTGCTGGTGCCAAAAACGGTTCTCCGGAGATCAACAAAGATAAGCTTCAAAAGACATGCTTTAGCCAGGAAAGTGCTGTAAAATAAGGAGTGCGTTTTTGTTAAACCTTCTTAATGGTTACACCCTTCGCCGCCCGGCGAAGCTGGCCGTTCGGCTTTGTCTCCGGGTTGTCTCGAAGCTTCCGATCAAATGCTGCTCTTGAAGCCTTAGCCAAAGCGTCGGAAGCTAAAACTCCGAATCTCATTCTCTACAACTACCCCTCATTCTCTGGAGCTTTCGCTGCTCTCTTCTCTCACCTCTTCCACGATCGCCTTAACCTTCCTCACCTCGCCTTACCGTTCTCTTCAGTCGAACCTCTTAGGTGATTCTTCATTGTACACCTTAGCTTAAAGTTCAATTGCAATTTGTGTATTTCTGGAAGCGCTGAAATCTATTCGGTTTGTTAAAGGTTTTAACTTTTTAATTAGACTGGTCTGGCATATTGTGTTTGTGATAGAGTTGAAGATTTGTGCATTGAGGGCCTTGAGAAATGTTACTTTCTCGATTTCATAGGTCCCAAAGGGCTGGCCTTGGAGCTTTCCAGACGAACCTCATGCCAGTAAGTGAAATACATTCTTTCTTATCTATTTCTGCACTAGGTATATGGAAAAACTGCCATGTCTTACTGTAAATGATCATTGTTGATAAAATTAGGGTCTTAGCTTTTGATCACCGAAAAAAGGTGCTTTCCTGTGTCCCTTCGAAGGAGGAATGTGGCGGGAATCTCATATTTCATGTCAATCTAGAGAAGAGCAGTGCTTGTGCTGCGTATGATTATTTCTCTTCTGAACTTCCAGATATCGGCTCTAGTGATGTGGGTTAGGTGCTATCAGCATTTCTTTGTTCAGTTGTACTAGAAGTACTTAGTCTGGCATTGCTTCAGGTTTATATTCGTTGCGTTTTACCTCCTATGGTAGGAAGACTCCATTTCCCTGCTAAACCCTGAAGTCCAAGATGAAATGGAAAAGCTCTTGAAATACATTGAGGATGGAGATCTTCGTAAATGGATCTTGCCAGATATTAGAGCATTCAATTTAGGACTCAGCGAATGGCGTTCAAAATTGAATTGTATCACCAACCCACACATGTATGAACAGGTTCATAGTTGATCTTGTTGATATTCACTTATTGTCATAAAATTATAAAGAAAATTCCTTACATAGGTCTAAAACATAAACAAAGTGCACAAATAGGACCACCAATGGTTTTCCTTTTCTTTCTAAAATAGGACTCATTCAGTCCTAATTGGGGAAGTTTTATACTTTTAATAGGACCAAATAAGTCATATTTTGGGAATAAAACACAGTTAGTTTTATTTGTGTACATTATCCATGTTTTAGTCCTGTTTGGAGCACTTTCTTAAACTTATATTGTGGTACAAATATGAAGGTAGAGCCAAAACTAATGTGAAGCTATTGCATTTTCAATTTCAACAGCTGATGGAGATGAGAGTTGGAGATTTAATTGGTAAAGGCAACTCTTATATATCTAGTAGGCAGAGCGCTGCAAATAAGTTGTTGGATAAGGTTTTCGAAGTTCAGTTGGGCAGGGGATTATACGGCTCATGTTTGGTAATATGATTATCAATTGTTTCTTTTTTCTTTTTCCCTGTAGAGAAGAAGATTTTCATTCCTTTAGAACCCTGTGGCTTTGCATGAAATGTTTTATTATGTTCAAATGAAATCAGCATCGCAGAATATCACATTTAAATGAACATTTACATCTGTATGTATACAATAAACTGTTTTAGTCTTTATATGATAAAAAATGTAAATAAAACGAGTTTGAACAAATATGCAGAGCTGGTTTATTGAGTTTGAACCATTTTTACATCCCCTCATTCCAAATTTCCCTAATATTTCGTCCCAATTAGTTTCACGAGCACTATCCAGGTTCCAAACGGATCCTAGTAGTCTATGCATCTAGCAAATATCCCTGCCGAGGGAAATAAATATTACCATCTCTACTAAAAAAGAGTCGTGTTTCGTCAAGTTACAACTTTTTAACTGGAGTAAGGTACAACTTTGGGAAAACATCCATCCTACTTATAGTTTTACGTTGATTTGCTTGATAAACTAGAATTAGCCCATTCCAGTTTTTGTGACACTTCACTTTAGAAAATTACACGAAGTTTAATGCAAATAGCCTCTTTTTTGTAAAAATAAGACTCGTTCTGAGACAAAAATGAATTTTGAGCAGTACCCTTTGTGATGCATATGGGCTTTCAATGTTTTGGTTACTATACATGAGACAGATGTGGCTTACATAATCGATTGCTGTTATTGTGAATTAGGGAGTTAGAGCTGATGGAAACTCAGATCTAAGCGGTGAAATTGGGAAGGAACTTAGTAGGAAGAGTGTTGCAGCTGGACTGAGGTATGCCTTGTCGTTTTTATCTTACCTGCTCAATATCGTGTTGTCTTTAATTATCCTGAAGTTGTAGTACTAAGAGCTGAGTTTGGCATCAACAATAAGTTATTTGTATTTAATTGCGTCCCAGGCCAATAGGAGCTGTCATCTATATGCAAAGGAATAATCTGAAAATGTGTCTCAGAACTACTGATATGTATACTGATACTTCTGAAGTTTCCAAGGTATGCCTTTTATATTACTCCCTCTGCCCCATAAAATAGTGCCCACTAGGATTTGGATCGGAGTTTAAGAAAGTGGAAATAATGTGGAAATGTATGATTGTGATTGAGTAAGAAAAAGGTAAATGAATGGTAGTCACACTAAACTTTCCAAAAAGTGAAGTGAGAAATATTTTTTGGGACGACCCAAAAGGGAAACGGGAAACTGTGAACTATTTTGCGGGACAGAGGGAGTATGTTTTTAGTCATTTCTTCTGGTTTTATACCACTAGATGCAAGGAAATTAACTCTCAACACTTGTCTTTGAGCACCAAGGCATATGGTGGAGGTGGCTCTCCATGCTCAAGCTCCTTCATAATTAGGATGGATGAGTTCAATCATTGGCTTGCAGTGAACAAGAGGTTAGTTAACAAAATTCATACTTTTTTTACTGCCCATTTGCTTCTAAGTTCTAAGTTCTAACCCTTTGCATTTGATAAAAATGTGTAGTTAGGGGGGCAAATAACGGAAATGGGAAAAGCGGGGTCTTTAATTACAAATGTAAATGGTGTATGTCGATGAAGTCTCGGTTGAAGGATTCCGCCAACTCTTTTGTTGAAGACGATGTACTTGAAAAATCCATCCTTTCTGGCTATTCTCTCTATTCTTGTTTGTGGTTATCATTAGAAACACCCATTTCATTATCTTAAGTTAGCAGCATGTGATCTTTCATAGTTTTAAATATTTTAATTCTTTGGAATAAGAGCATATGAGATGATCCTTTAATGGCATAAAAGCATTTAAAAGAACTGAATGCTTATACTTTGTAATTCGATGTATAAGCATTCAGTTATAGTATGTATTGCATTGAATGGCATACCCAACCTTTTTGTGCAAAAAGAACACCTCCTGATCTCCCTTGGCTTCGGATATAACATTATAGATTCGTCGTATCATACTATCATATAGTAGTGTAAGTGTTGATGCATTTAAACATTATTACAGAATAAAAATAAACGCCTGGTGCAAAATAACTGCACTTGGCATGTGCTTGTCAAAGCTGTTTCATAATACGTAGTAGTTTTTTTTTTATATAGAAATACGTGATTCTGATTTCATCGGATTAATTTTGCGCTCTCAAGTCTCAAGTAATCACCCAAACACTTGAAAGATGTGAATTCGAATTGCTCGAAAAAATTGGTAGATTCTCATTGCCATATACGGAGTATTACACTATCCAAAATTCTCCTAAATTCACTCCTTTGGTGGTTTGAATTTAATAACACACACATGAGGGTGATTTAAATGTGGGAAGTTGTCCATTTTAACCAAATACCAATCCAACTTTAAAATTGTGGGATGCAACTATGCAATCAATGTTAGCACTACACCAATGGTAGCAAGAAATCGTTAAATTCAAACAACAACTAATTTCTATATAGAAATTGCTCTAAATAAGAGTAAAAATGTTTTGAAATTCCAAAATAGGAGTATCATGTTTTTTATTCCCTAAATAGGAGTAATTTGCCAAGTTTGGAAAAAAATGCCATGTTTTAAAGTAGGGATGGACTCGAGCCGGGTTAACCGGCTCGTAATCGGCCCGAATTGGTATTGTTACGAACTTACGGCCTGGCCTAGCCCGGTACTTGGTTATGTGCTCGGTTCGGGCCACCTGGCCTGGCAATGTAGAGGGGCGGTTCACGGGCCTCCTAAATGATGAATCGGCCTGGCCGGTTCGGGCCCGACCTGAACCCAGTCCATGCCTATTATAAAGTCTAGTAATGTCAAACTTGGTAGAAATTTACTCCTATTCAAGGAATAAAAAACACGAGTCCTGTTTTGGAATTTCTAAACTTTTGTACTCCTGTTTAGGGAATTCTCCCATTTCTATATAATAAATCTAGTTGTGTGTCCAGCTGTTAAATGTCCCACACCGGAAAAATGAGAAGCATTAGAGTGCTATATTAAGCTTCGGGCTACTCCTCCTAATAGGTTGACCTTTTAGGATGGAATCCCGAGTCTTAACATGGTATCAGAGCCAAATCGATCCATGATGTGGGACCCCTTGTGAAAAATGACGACACGATAAAAAAAATTGACGAACAGATGAAAAAAATGAATGACGACACGATCAAGACGAAGTGTCTGGTCGTGAGGAGGGGTGTTAAATGTCCCACACCGGAAAAATGAGAAGCATTAGAGTGCTATATTAAGCTTCGGGCTACTCCTCCTAATAGGTTGACCTTTTAGGATGGAATCCCGAGTCTTAACACCAGCGCTAGTGGTGAAGTGCATCGTTTATTGCATAATTGTTAGTTTTTACTTTTTAGTTTTTACTAGTATGTAAGGATATGGCATAGGAGAGAGATAGAGATATAATAAATATTTTAATGAAGTGGTGTGTAGGGAAAAATGAAAAGGAGGAGGGAGTGAGAGAGAGAGATGAAAAGTAGACCTAGATCCGTGAGAGTATTGATGGACTCGGGCCAGGTCGGGCCCAGGCCGGGCCCAGCCCGGGCCGCCGGGTTGTATGACATGGGCCCGGGACCGGCCCGAGGGTTGGACGGGTCCGGTTCGGGCCGGGCCACCCGCCCGGGTCACGGGTCAGGTCCGGTTCGGGCCGGGCCGGTTAATTTTTTTTTATAATTTATATTTTATAGTTTATAGTTTTATACGAGTATTAAAAACAAACTTCAATTGCATTTATTTGAAATGAAACAGGAACTACATTTGAAAATTAAAACAAACTTTAAGAGAGAAACATTTTGAAAATTGTAATCAATCGGAACTTCCCGCACCTCCCGATCCTTTGGCTTTGTCACATGACTTCATATGCTTGATTGCCATCCTGAATCCGCCTGAAGCCCCCATGCTACATTTTTTCTCGCACCATTTGCAAATTGCGTACCACATCCCGGTCTTCGGGTCCTTCTGCTTATCAAAATTATACCTTATAATGGCATCTTGATTTTCCATCTTAACTTCTTAAGTATAAACTATAAAGTAGATATATAAATAATAAATATAATATATTGGAGAATAAGAGAATTAGAGAGTAGAGAGTTAAGAATAGGATTTAGGAAGAATTGGAGAAGAGATATGAAAAAATGTTTAAGATTAGGAGTATTTATGGTTTTTTTTACCCCCCACCCCCCCCACCCCCCCCACCAGCCAACCCCCGGACCCCCCCTTTACCCCACCCCCAACGGCTAGTAGCCCAACCAAACAATTTTTTTTTAAATAAGACTGGACCCGGACCCGGGCCCGACCCGGTCGGGCCGGGTCACATTATTCCAGCACCGAGCCCGCCCCGCCTCTTCCCACCGGTTCGGGCCCATACCCGGTCCCGGACCGCTCGACCGGGCCGGTCCCGGGCCCGCACAGTACCGGGCCGGGCCGGGGTCACGGGCCGGGTGGCCCGAACCGAATCCCACCCTACGTGAGAGCATCTCCAATTGGAATGTCTATTCTCTTACACATTTTTACACATGAGTCCCATTTTTTATCTCACAAATTTTATGTATAGGACCTACATATCTTCATATTTATTTTAATTTTCATTTTTTTATATTACTTCTAACCCACTTTTCATCCACTTTTGCTCCTCGATTTCCGTGTAAATTCTATTTGTGTACATTGTCATAGACATTGTCTACAATTTACCTCTATCTTTCTCTTCCATTTCATTTTTCATACACACTACTTTCTTTATATTAAATTAAAATAATCATCTTATCTCTGTCTCTCTCCTATTCCACGTAGGATAGACTTTTCTCCAATCCATTACCCCATTCGAGATGCTCTGACAAGGTTCATAAATGGACCTTGCACGGGATTCGAGGAGGAAAACTTGATGAAAACTGAGTTAAAAGTGATATAAAAAATGAAAATGAAAATAAATTATGAAATACGTGGGTCCTACACATAAAAATAGTGAGAAAAAATGGGACTTCTGCATAAGGGTGGGTAAGAGACTACACCCTTGCATTTGAGATTGCTCTTTTAAGTAAAAAAATGTACGACGTATTAAACCGAAAAAGAACAGAGTTTATCCATTTGATTTTGGGAGGGCATATAATATAATGCATAGATGTATATATTTCAAAAGCACTCTTATTGGTTCCTTTGACGTATATTGGTTCAAATTAGAATGGTCTTATGCGAATGTATCTACTGCGGTTTTAAATTCTCTAAAGCACTATAGGATCATTGTTACATCCTTCATGTATTGTTTAAATATCCTCTCTACGTCCCATTCTAAGGTTTCACTTTTCTTTCTTAGATATCTCATACCCCGTATAAAAGTTCTCATTTTTATTTTAAAAAACAATTAAGAATTTTAAATGATAGTTTAAAAGTATTTGCCCTAAATCGGACTAAAATAATAGCAAAGTTCCTAAATAGGACTATTCCTTAATTTATTCCCTAAATAGGACTATTTTAATAACTGAGCGTTTCCTATTCCTAAAACAACCATTCTTGATGTACACACCCTTGTACACACCCTTGTACACACCTTATACACACCATGTTTGTGAAGCTTTTTTTTTGTCTGTGAATCCGGTTTACAGACAATATTATGTTTGTGCAAAACATTGTCTGTGAATCAATGTTCACAGACAAAAAAAAACCTTCACAGACATATGTGTGTACAAAAGTATGTATAAGAATGTATACAAATATCATTTTTGTTCCTAAAATATCCCCGCGCATAATTAAAACACAAGCTTCTCTTTATTTTTCTAACCTTCCGTAACCCACAACCACCTCTTCTCTCTCCTCTCTTATTTCTCTCCCCATTCTCATTTCTCACGCACCCCAATCCCATCTTATTTTATCTTCTCTCTTTCTCTTCTTCCTTCTCTCCCACCACACCCACCTCACATCTACAAACTTCCCCCACCCCTTCTTTCTTCTGCATCCCACTCTCACATTCAAAGGTATGGTCTTCTACTTCCGTAGTAAGGTGCGACTCCGACGACATGGTGTGATTCCGGCGACGTGGTGCGAATCCGGTGATGTGGTGCGAATTCTTTCTTCGGTAAATATCTCACATCTTCTCTCTCTTTTACCTTTCATCCTCCTTTTCTTCTCTTCATTTGGATCTCTGTATTTTTTTTTTTAATTTTTAGATTCAAAATTGGAAATTTTAAGTATAGGTTTTAAAGTTTGGGAGTAGAAAATCTGAGGCTCCACAAGTTGTTTATATAACAAAATTAGATCTGACTTTTTTATTATGAAAATACAAACGTCCAGCGATTTAAAAAAATTAAACCAATTTTTTTATTAATTTTAATTTCTTTATTTTAGAATTTTCAATTTAATGAATTTGGATCTGAAAATCTGTAGCTAATGTTTATTTTTTTCGAAAACATATTTAAAAAATTATTTTAAAAGCGACATTTTTTTTAATATGTTTGGCAAATAATGCCATTTTGCATTTATGAAGTTGACATTAACTTCACAAAAATGGCAATATTACTTGAATATGTTAGGTAAATAATGCCATATTTTATAACTATTAATGTCATATATTTTTTAGAAAATGACATTATAATTTTAACATGGCATTAAATAATTTTTCACCAGATCTGAGACAGATCTGAACTCTACAGTGGTCAGATAAACGGAGGCTGGCGGCGGCGATGTCAGAGGTTGCAAATGAGGCGGCGGCGACACCAGTATGACGGTAACTGACTGGAAGGCTAGATAAGGTTGGAAGAGCAGTTGGTGGTGCCAATGGTGGTGACAACATTGACACCAAAGGAGACGGAGGTGACACCGACGCCGGTGGTGGTGGCACCGAAGCCGGTGGCATCAGCGGCGGCTACGATGCCGGTGGCGGCAATGGAGGTTGCGCTATAGATTGCTCTGTTCACAAGGACCGCTGGGCTTCACATTTTTGTTTTATTATTTTATTTTGTATTATTAATTAATATATAAACTGATTTACTCCTTA